GCCTCCGCCGCCTCCTCCTCCGCCGCCGCCGCCGCCTCCTCCTCCGCCGCCTCCTCCTCCTCCTCCGCCTCATCCGCCTCCGCCGCCTCCTCCTCCTCCTCCGCCTCATCCGCCTCCGCCTCCTCCTCCCTCCCCTCTCCCTCCCTCCCCTCTCCCCCTCCATCACCACTTGTACATACCCCCTGCCTCCTCGTCCGCCCTTTCCATCCCATTCCCCTCCCTCCCTCTCGTCCTGTTCATCTCTTTGTTCTTCTTCCTCTCTTGTTATTTCTTCCCTCGTCGCAACTTCTTCCTACTCATACTTGAGCACAGAACACAGCACCGCCTACCAAGAAGGCAAGCTCGACCCAGCTACCTTTCTCCTCCTACTACTACTACTCCTCCTCCTCCTCTCTCCCTGATCCGTTTCTCCTCCTCTCTCCCCCATCCGTTTCTCCTCCTCTCTCCCTCATCCGTTTCTCCTCCTCTCTCCCTCACTTTCATTCTGCAGGTCAGGCGCGGCTTCTTTGCTCGGACGATCAACCGCGTGTGGGGGATGTTCTTTCAGTCCCAGGTGAGGAGAGCGAGGGGAGAGGGAGGGAGGTAGGGAGGTGAACATGGAGGAGGAAGAGGAGAAGAGGGAGAGGAAGAAGGCAAGGAGAGAAGGAGAGACAGAAGAATCAGAAGCTGCTTCTTCCCGTGCTTGTCTGACTTGCTGCTACAGGGAGATTCAGGCGCAGAATCGTCTGCTTATCACATCGTTGACTCCATTGACATTGAGATGGAAGCATCAAGGTACGATGACTGGGAGAAGCGGAGGAGGAGGAGGAGGAGGAGGAGGAGGAGGAGGACTGACTCTTGAGGTGCAGTGAGATTGACATCACTGAGATGAGAGATCCGAGATAGGTTGCCTCGAAGATGCTTCTGTGAATAATTTTTTGAGATTGACATGGAAAAGTTCTTGTGATCTCTTAATTTAGAATCTTCTCAGACAAACCAAACGAATGAACTTAGTTAAGAATACAACCTTCAAAAGACAACCTTCATTAGTTTAATTTAACTCTCATTCCTCCTCCTCCTCCTCCTCATCCTCCTCCTCATCCTCTACTTGCATCAACATCATACTCATCATCATCAACATCGCAATGCCTGGACTTTCTCCGACAGCTCTCGGCAGTGGAAGATTCTAGATCGCAGCCTCGCCTTCATCATCTCCATATCAACATCAAAGTCTGACGTCAGCGCCCCAATCTCTTCCTCTAGCTCCTTCATGCTTCGACCATGTCTGTACTCCTCCCCTCTCTCCTCCTGCTTCTCCTCCTCCTCATGCTGACTTGCCGTCTGCTCAAGCTCATCTTGATGCATCCTCTTGGCCTTCATGTAGAAGGCCACCATCTCCTCCTCCACGTTCTGCGCCATCTCATGCTCTCTGATCTCCTCGGAGCTTCTCCTGTTGCTCGCCACCTCCTGTCCCTTCCTATCCGCTACCCCGTGAGCCGAGCAGGAGGCCGCGCAAGGTTGGTGAGAACTGCTGGACTGCGAGCGCTGGCCCGACAGGACTGAACCCAAAGAGGAGAAAATGTTGTTGAGGTCACTTCTGATGACTGGGTTTGTCAAAATGTTCTCTTCCAACTTGTTGAGATCTCGCGAGGAAACATCCAACACATCATTCAACCTGTTGAGAACTGAACAAACGTCCGTCACAAGCTGTGATGGGGAATGAGGCGAGTCCTGTTTCAGACTGTCCTCTATCCTCCCCATCACCTCCTCCTCCTCGCTCATCGAATCTTGGTCATAAGAGTCGTCCATGGGCATGTCTTCATCGTCAAACACGGCAGAGCTCACAAGAATCTCGTTGAGCAGCTTGTTCTTCTGTCTTTGCTGGTCCAACGTCACCTGCAACCTGGCGATGGCAGCGTTGTACTCGGCCTCGCGCTCCCACTTTTCCATGTGTGCAAGCTTCGACACCTGATCTTTCTCCTGCTCGGACCGCTGAAGCAACTCTTTGAGATCTTTGTTTTCCTTTAACAGTCTCTCACTCTGACTGCCCTGTGACTGAGCAAGCACCTGGAACAGCTCTAGGAAGTGACTTCGTTTCACACGGAAACTCTTGTGAAGCTCCAGGCAGGGACCCGAGAAGAGCCTCTCCTCGTCTTGCGGCATGGAGTTCATGCTAGCAAACGAGCCCAACTTCTCTTGTCTGTGCTCGTTGCCTCCCGACTCAATCATAAGCATCTGCGAGCAACGATTCTGATGCTGGTACACGTGGTCAAACAGGTTGTGCAGCTCTCTGATCTCCTTTCTCAGGATCTCGTTCTCTTCCACCATGAACTGCATGTGCGAGTCGAACTTGTTCTGCAGGTCGTGCATCTCCTTCTTCAGATCATCCATGTACCTCACATTCTCAGTCTTGCCGTCCCCAAAGCTTGAAGCAAGGTTGGACAAGTTGCATTCAAGCTTCTTCAAGTATCCCTTGACGATGTCAAGATCTGTCGACTCTGCTCTTACATCACAGTTCTTCGACTTGCAACACGAATGAGCCGAGAGCGAGTCCAAGATGTCATGGTTTAGCTTCACCACTTGCTCCATACCGTCCACCAACTTCTCCAACAGGAAGCAATCATCACTTGGTGCACTGACCGTCTCCTCCTCCCTGTCGTATCTCATCTGCTGTATGATCGCAGCCATCTCTTGTATGGTAGTCTCGTCCGACTGCATCTCTTGGTTCTTGAAGATCAGCTCTTGCCTGAGCTCCTCGACCTGGCGGATCAAACTCTTCGGGGAGGGGATGGAATCCTTGGCGGAGACAATCAGGCTGTAAGAGCTGTTCACATTGGCAGTGATCTCCTTCACGAAGGACGAGACGGATTCAAGGAACGACATAGACGTCAAAGACGCCTCCCTCTGCCACTGGCTGCTAGACCGAACAAACTCCTTCACACGCTCGATCTCTTCCTTCCCTTGTGGGGTGCTGACCTCTGACGCTATGACCTCCATGCTCTGCAACAACCAACAAGGATCGCAAGTCTGAGGCTCAGAGACCATCCGAAATTTCGAGACTTTCCTATCCAACCAAGAGCAGTACAGTTTGCATCTACGGAACCGACAAGTCAGCAGGTGCGAAGGAGCAAACTGAGTCAACGACTGACCGTTCGAGGTACTCCGTTGGATCCTCTTGAGTCTCATCGATCGGCCTGCTCAGCTTTCAGCGGTCATTCACAGGTTCTAGTGTACAATACCATTCTTCCTTCTCCAACGTGGACTCTGCGTTCCCTTTCTTCTTCCTCAGCCCTCGATTGCCTGTCACTTTCCTGCATTCTTGGTGCCACATCAGCTCGATCGTCTTGGTGTCCAGGTGAACATCTTTGTTTGCTTCACACAATTCTTTCTGGATCCTCGAGAAGTAGTGATGCTCCGGGCATCTGGCAAGGTTCACAGATCAGTTGGAGGGCAACAACGGAAAGTGCAAACGCACATGAAGTCTCCATTTTCATCCCTCGACTGAGGAGATGCAGTCCACTCAATCACCTCCTCCAGAACTGACAGAGCTATACGATCATCTTTATCTTGAGACGACGACATGGTAGACGGATGCATCGCCTCGAGACGGAATTTCTGCATCATCCCGATCAGAGGAACAACAACTCCAGGATATAAAGCTTGCGACGAGCTTGCAACGGGAGAAGAACGACATAGAATTTGGTCGTATCAACACAAGTTCTTCGAATGTTAATTCACCTTCTGCTGCTATACTCATCAACAACTTCCAAACCAACTTGTTGCCTCGTTCAAGAGCTAAGACAAGAATTTCAAATTTGTTGGTGGCTACACTTTCTATTCGCAATGTTGCAAACCTCTTCGACCTTTGTCGCACTCTCTGGTGATATGGACGTGTCAACGTCTATCACATATCTCTCCTCTCGCACACATCAACTCGTTCCTTGAGCTCCGACCAGCTGCGAGTAGTCTACGCATAGGAGGGGGCAAATGGATGGAAGGGGACCCCATCAAAGTGATATCTTCCGAGGGGTGGTGGCCTGGCGGTCCGCAGGGGTACTACCAGTCGTATGTCCACAGGGAAGGGGGTGGAGGGTAGTCGACGCAAACAAAGGGTAGGGTGGATTTCTGAGGATAGAGGTAATGGGTAGCCTAGTAGGGTGGGTTATCCAGATTATTGCTTCTCGAAGGGGTACGTGCTATGGGTGTGCCGTTTAGCCGTGATAGGGGTAAATAAGCCTAGAGGAGTGTGGGATGGGGTGGGTCCTCGAAGAGAGGTCAGAAGGGGTGGGGTCATAGACTGGCGAATCAACATATCAACATCAGAAGACATGGGGGGGTCATCGTGTGCCTGCTGACCGTCACGGCGCGACCGTACTGATCAGAGCAGGGTAGGGTAGGGGGTAGGGGTACTGGGAGGTATAGGGGTTGATCTTGGTACTTTCGAGGGTGTACACATACGGCACTACCCCCAAGAATCCTGGAAGATAGGAGGGTGGGTGGTCTTCTCTCAGGATTAAACTGGACTGGATTGATATGCCTGAGTTGACTGAAATTTCCGGTACTGAGGAGTTGGGGGACTGGAATCACTTCGGTCACCGTACAGTGAAAGGAAGGGGGGTGGGTCACGTTGGGGCCGTCAGCCAAGCTCATAGATGAGGGGGTTGTTATGCCTAAGTTACCTGGGAAACTTGGGGTAGGGGTGGCCATGAAAATTGATTTTTCATACCAAAGGGGGTGGGTGGAGTGGGTGATGTACTTGAAGGAACGAACTTGGCCTCAAGGCGAAAAAGGCTGATCGCCGACGGGGGGTGGTTGAAAAATGAGGGGTAGTACTCTAAGGGGACTCTTCTACATGTAGATAGGGTGGGTACATATTGGGGAATGGTAGGGGAGTATTGATCCTCGGACTATCGGACTAGGGGTAGTAGTCCGGTTGGGGAGTGTAGTGAGGGAGGATAATCGGGGGGTAGTACTGGTCACAATCTATCAAGGCAACAAGAGGCCGAACTGAAGTAGAGGGGGTGGGGGTACCTCCATAAGGACTCGCCTACATATAGTGCCCCATCTTTCTAGTCTAACTCCAGGATGAGCCACCGGTAGTCACCTCAATAGGGTTATAAGAGTAGCTATGCTGTACGGGGGGGGGGGGGGGGTAGGGGTGGCTGCCAGGGTATCAGCCATCGTTGGAATGTTGACAATCTTCTCGGTTGCATCACTACCCCTCCATTTAATGGCAAAATAGGGTCATAACCAGGGGTCTGTGGGAGCGCAGGGGCGGCGGAAAGTCCGCGGGGGTGGGGTGCCAGGTGGTCTAGGGTCCGTCCCATGGAGAATGAAGAGACTCGGGGCAGGGGCCGCGACTCTCAAACTCGGAATCTACTTCACAAGCACCCTCAGTGCCGTCCGAACTGGCGGAGATCATCGGCGGCCGCCGGGCCGCGGCCCGGCCCCGCGGGCCGGGGCCCGGGCGGCCCTGCGGCCGCCCGGCAGGCCCGGCGAAGCTCACCTCACTGCCGAGCGGCGGCCTGCTGGAACTGGCCTGACCCAGTGAGGAAGGAATGGGCCGGCGGCGCTGGACTGAGGGGGGACTTGCAGTTGTTTGAGTGCTGAAAGTAAACTCGGATTACGGAGAATATGAAAGTTTGTTTAGAAGGTTACGGTTGTCAGGCCGCCAGTGCCAGGCCCTGAGGGGCATCTGATCTATCTGAGCTGGACTCGAGTCGGAGGTTCAGACCCTCCCTTGGCACTGCGTCACCGTGACGGTGACTCAAGACATGAAGGTAGTCAAAGAACTAGCAGACATCGCTGACTTAGTCACGGCGACCTCCGTGCCACTGGCAGTTGGACTCGAACAAGGTGCCAGTGAGTTACCTGCTGCTTCACTGTGAAGTCGGCATTGACTCCTCTGACCTCGCTTCCAACTTCAAAGCCTGCTCCCGGGCTTGGTTCGTCATGGTCTGGTCACTGGCACACGGAATCGAAGGACTCGCCCCGCCCCCGAAGGTAAGACAGCAGGACGACCTGGAAAACGAAGCGATCATCTATGTATCAGATGGATAGACAGCAAACGACAAGAGGAACGATGAGACGGAACAACTAGATGTACCAGTCAAACAAATTGCAGCTGAGAAGGAGAGGGAGAAGAAGAAGCGGTCCAGCGATCGAGAACTTCATAGAACATCATTGTTCTGTCTTTTAAGGATCTTGGAAGGGTTTCAAGTAGCTGTGGAAGAAGAAGCCGATGGCGTACCTCTCTGATTGCGTCAGAGCATCGATGTTGTTTTTAGTGTCGTTTTTGTCGTCGTCGTCAATTTTGAAGAACATCGCAATCCTCTCCTTCCCTATCCTCCTGACTTTGTCCGACATGTTCGGATCAAGTACCCGAGATCAGAACTTCGCTCTCGTGCGACGATTAGAGTCCGAATTCAAGGTGTGCCCAACAACTTTGACAAGCAGCAGCAATCTTGACTCTTGTTGCATTTTTGCTCGAATGAGTTGATCGACTGCCATAAACGTGTTGCTGACTATCAGAGCATCTTTCACTGCTTCATGGCTCGAGTCGTGACGCTAGTTACGGTCGCAGCCTCTTCTCCAGTGATCCTCTGATTCAACTAGACTCTGAATCCGATGATCGCCAGGCCGCCTCCTGTCAAACTTTGGCCTAAATCGCGGCAAGTCACTCCGAGTTTCCGATTCTGGGTGGATCAGACTCCGTGGACTCGGGAGGACTGAGGCCCGCCCCTGAGGACTCCGGGAGGAGCAGCAGCAGGAGAAGGAGCAGGAGCAGGAGCAGGAGCAGGAGCCTGAGCAGGAGCAGGAGCAGGAGCAGGAGCAGGAGCAGGAGCAGGAGCAGGAGCAGGAGCAGGAGCAGGAGCAGGAGCCTGAGCAGGAGCAGGAGCAGGAGCCTGAGCAGGAGCAGGAGCAGGAGCAGGAGCAGGAGCAGGAGCAGGACTCCCCGGAGCAGGAGCAGGAGCAGGAGCAGGAGCCGCAGGAGCAGGAGGAGCCGGGCCTGGGAGAAAGGGGGGGGGGGGCGGGGCAGCAGCAGATGGCTAGTACCTTACGAGTAGCAACTGCTGGCTCGCTGGGCCGCCGGGCCAACGTCCGACTCGTAAAAAAAGGTCATCTGCAGAGCAACCGCCCTGAAACGGTCACCAACATTGGTTAGGGGATGAGGGCGACGTATCCGCAGATATGTATTGCATCGATCTAGGGGGTGGGGTGGGGTACCCCGATCGACGGCGGGGTTGTAACGAAGGGGTCCTGTTGATAGCCCCAAATTCAAGCTTGTTCCCTTTGCTCAGAGTATGTACCTATGGCCATTTTTGCTAGTGTAAGAGTCGATGAAATTTGTATGTATGACCCCCTTGTGGACCCCTGAGTTTTCTCTCTCAATCCTATATTCTACTAGCAGTGATAGTAGATATCAAAGTACCCCTCCCCCTACCACCTTGCCTCTCAGACCTCTATGTATGGCGTCCTCCCCGAGGTTGCGTCGGCTGCTGGGGAGGATCGAGGCTGCTGGGGAGGAGCTGGACTCAGACAAGCTCAACCCACAGGCAGGTCAGGAAGCAGCGACTCTCATGCACGAGGCGTACAAGGAGCTGCTAGCCGAGTACGACAGGGTACATGCAGCACTTGAGCAGGCGGAGGGGAAAGTCAGCGAGCAGAGCAGGTACATCTCAAGGAACCTGTCCCCTACCTCCAGCGCCCCCTCCTCTGCCATCCACACCCCTCGACTCCCCTCCGCGAGAGGAGGAGCGTCCCCGGATGGCTCCGTGCATGGGCAGGACTATGCGGCGAGGCTCAACGAAATGATCGAGAGGTTGAGGTTCGACCTGGACGCGACCGCCAAGGAGCGAGACACGTACAAGAGCCAGCTGACACGAGCTGAGATGGAAGTCACCCTCCTCCTCGACAAGTTGAACTTGACCAAGGAGCAGTGGAGGGAGCTGAACCCAACAGTCTCCGGCATCACGACTCAGGTGTCCTTGCTGGAGGAGCAGCTGGCGACGGCTCTGCAACATGTGAGAGCAGGTTGAACTAGGAGGGATCAGTGACTAGGTCGTTGTCCTCAGGTTAAGAAGCAGGAAGAGAAGATTGAGGCTCTGCAGGAAGAGCTGCGGTCAAAGGACGCGATGCTGCTCTCTCAGAATAGCACGATTCTGAGCCAACGAGATACCATCCGACTTGAAGAGGCCGGAGACGTCGGGGCGGTGGTGAGTGATTGATCAAGTTCTCTGACCTGCCCTGCTCTTGTGTGCTTGTTGCTGAAGGCTTTCCTTTGTTTGCAGGTGCGAGCTCTTAAGAGCAAGGTCCATGAGCTGGAATCTGACTGTCAGAGCAAGGATTTTGTGATGAAGAGGAGTATGAAAGAGTTGAACTCACAGACACTGAGGGTGAAGATGCTGGAGCACGAGCTAGAGCGGCAGCAGAGCGAGTGGAAGCAGGAGAAGGAGAGGCTGGAGAAGGAGCGACAAAGGCAGCAGCAGGAGCGGATGAACGCTGAGCATGACCGAGAGCACCTGCTTGTTGTCAACGAGGCACTTCGCGCAGCTGTAAAGTCGATGGAGGAAGGAAGCTACTTGAACCCGGACGGGTTGACGGTCGGGCAAGTGAGCAGGGGGGAGGCGTCGATGACTTACCATGTGGGGTTGACATACGACGAGGGAGGAGGAAGAGACTCGAGCGGCGATGACGGCATGGGCGGGATGAGGGAGGTGGAGAATGGCAAGTGTCTGAGCCCCGACGGTCATCTTGTCTTCAAGTCCTCCTCCCCCCCGACGTCGCAGATTTCCGTCCTGAGCAATGGAACGAGCGAGCATGAGCGTCGAACTGTCTCGTTGGATTCAAGTCGACGGTCCGAGGGGAAGTCAAGAGGAGGAGGTAAAGCGCAGCGGAGGAGAGACAAGGATTGCTTCATACAGTAAAGGAGCAGAGGATGATGCGAACGAGGAGAAGGAGGATGGTAGAGGAGGAAGAGGTCAGGGGCGGAGAGGACAAGGAGAAGGAGGAGGAAGAAGAGGAGGAGCGGGCAAAGGGGACGAGGATGAGGAATGTGTTGATGGTCCTGCTTGACATTTTGACAGACTTCTGGGTCACCTGCCTTAGGATGATGTTTGCAAGTGAAATCCTTCATCAGAAAGACAACCTTGCCTCCAAAGGAAACGATGTAACTTTGATCCAACTTCCATACAACTTTGTCCCAACTTTCAAACGACTTTCATACGACTTTCATACAACTTTCATACAACTTTGTTTCATCTTTGTTTGAACTTGTACTGCCTTTCTCGTGGTTTCTTCTCAACGTTCTTCCGACTTACACTTTGGCTCTCCTGGAACTTCCTCTCTTTTCCGTCTTCTCCTCAATCACCCGACACTCTTCTTCTCTTCTCCTGACTGACATGTTTGCAGCATTATCACCGTCATGTTCTCATGTCCACATGTATCGACGACATCAACCTCCTGTCTTCCATGGCGAACAGCAACGACGTTGCGCACGTCAGGGACCAGATCGCCTCCATCATGTTCGTCAAGGATTGCAACTTCTCCATCGTCGACTTCCTCAAGTGCAACGACAGTAAAGGCATCATCTGTATTATACAGCTCAACGAGGACATCCCGAAGAACCAGCTCGAGCGCTTCCTGTCCTCCAGGAGCTTCGCCAGGCTCTGGGAGAGCAACTCTGCCGCCCACTTCGCGTGCTCGCACGAAGTCTGCAAGGAGTCGGTCCTGACGGGCTGGACGATGGATCAGCTGACATCGTCATGCTCGACGATCTTGAACGTCTGCGAGCATGCGATCATGGCTGGGCTGCGCCATGCAGAGAGCCAGAGGGACGGGAGTAGGCAACAGGAGCAGCAGAGGAAGGAGGAGAGGAGGGAAAGGAACGGTCAGCGTGTGCAGCTCTCGCTATCCTCGGAGGCTGTGTTCGAGCTCATGTTCGACCTCCAGCGTCTCCTTCCAGCAGTCGACGAGCTCCACATCGACCTCTCGCTGGTACTGAGCGGGTTTGACAAGGTCATGAGGGCGAACGAGAGTCTGCGCGAGAGGGTGAGGGAGATGGAAGAGGCGTCGGGAGAGGAGGAGGAGGCGAGGAGAAGCTTGCAGACGCAGCTGTCCATGGAGAGGAGCGCAAGGATAAAGCAAGACCATATCGAGTACATGTCGAGGGAATGCAGCTTGAACTGCATGCAGTCGTTGCAGTCGGTGTCGAACGAGCTGTTCTCGCTCGCAACACTGTGGGAGGAGTGGGAGAAGAAGCAATTAGCTCGTCAACAACTTGGGCAGCAGTTGGTGCAGGAGAAATATCAAGACAGCAGGCAAGACAAGGCTCATCGAGAGCAGCTGGAGGCGGTTTCCCTTCAGTGCGCACGAACGATCGAGGAGTATGAGAAGGAGATGTTGATGTTGAGGAGAAGTCTTCAGACTGCGAAAGAGAATCACAAGGAGGAGATTGAACAACTCAACTTACATTGTAAGCAAGCCTGGGAAGGACAAACTCAAGTAAGTCTGATGAATGGAGATGATGTGATTGCTAAAAATGATTGAGAAAGTGATGATGATGACAACGACGAGGACAAAACTAATGGTTGATGGTGATGTTGTTGATGTTGGGGTTGTTGATGTTGATGATGATGATGATGATGATGATGATGATCTTCTCCATGACCACCATGATGATGATGAGGATGATCATGATGATCAACACCGACTGCAACGACAGCATGCTGTTCAAGCTGCATTCCCTCGACATGTACTCGATATGGTCTTGCTTTATCCTTGCGCTCCTCTCCATGGACAGCTGCGTCTGCAAGCTTCTCCTCGCCTCCTCCTCCTCTCCCGACGCCTCTTCCATCTCCCTCACCCTCTCGCGCAGACTCTCGTTCGCCCTCATGACCTTGTCAAACCCGCTCAGTACCAGCGAGAGGTCGATGTGGAGCTCGTCGACTGCTGGAAGGAGACGCTGGAGGTCGAACATGAGCTCGAACACAGCCTCCGAGGATAGC